CTGGTTATTCAGTCGAGCACTGATCTAGGTCCTACCTTTTGGAAATACTCTGTGTAGAATCTAAAAAGAAAGGATTTGGCAGATGTAATTAAAATTCAAGTCAGTTGATATTAGGATACTGAGATTATCACCCAATCAAGTAGCCATTTAAAAGCAAGGTTTTTGGCTGGATGCAGTGGCTCATGCCTGTAATCCCAACACGTTGGGAGGCCAAGGCGGGCAGATCACAAGGTCAGGAGATTGAGACCATCTGGCCAACATGGTGAAACTTCGTCTCTACTAAAAAGACAAAAATTAGCCAGGCATGGTGGTGCGCGCCTGTAATCCCAGCTACTCCGGAGGCTGAGTTCAGGAGAATCGCTTGAACCTGTGAGTCAGAGGTTGCAGTGAGCTGAGATTGAGCCATTGCGCTCTAGCCTGGCTATAGAGCGAGACCCCATCTAAAAAAAAAAAAAAAAAAAAAAGACAAAATTTCCTCTAGCTGGTAGTAGAACAGGAAGTTATGAGAGGCATTTGAGGCATTGCTGACTTGAAGACGGAGGAAGCCATGTGCTGAAGAATGCAGAGGCCTCCAGAGAGCTGCCTCTAGCCAGCATCCAGCAAGGAGCTGAATTTGGCTAACAATCTAAATGAGCTTGGAAGTGGATTCTTCCTCAAAGCATGTGGATAAGAGCTCAGCTCAGCCAACACCTAGACTTTGCCCTTGCAAGACTTAGCTGAGAACCCAGTCAAGCACATACAATGGGACTTAGGGAACTGTGAGATAATAAATGGTTGTGGCTTTAAACTGCTAAATGTGTAATGATTTGTTATGCAGCAATAGGAAACAAATATATTTGTTTCATGAAAGAACAGAGCTGGAGAGAACTTGGGAATCCCTCCAGGAGAGGGTTCTGTCAGATGTCTTGCATTATGTTGGTGGCGAGAACACATTTTCCCCACTTATGTATATAGAGACCTACTGGTGTAACACTACTGACCTTTCCCCACCTCCTGACTTACTTAGGAAGGAATGGAGTTATTAGGAAGGAGAAATGATATATCTATATACTTGTTCCTTCCTTTGTTTTTCCCCTTGAGAGTGAACCTGTTGCCTAAGAGCTAGGTTCTGTTCTACACCATCAAATTCCAACTTGTTTTTCTTTTCTTCTTTTCTTTCTTTTTCTTTTGAGACGGAGTCTCACTCTCTTGCTCAGGCTGGAGTGCAGTGGCATGATCTCAGCTCATTGCAACCTCCGCCTCCCAGGTTCAAGCGATTCTTCTGCCTCAGCCTCCCAAGAAACTGGGATTACAGGCACATGCCACCATGCCTGGCTAATTTTTGTATTTTTAGTAGAGACAGGATTTCACCATGTTGGCCAGGATGGTCGCAATCTCCTGACCTTGTGATCTGCCTGCCTCAGCCTCCCAAAGTGCTGGGATTACAGGTGTGAGCCACTGCGCCTGGCTGTCAAATTCCAAGTCTTACAAGGGCCTGTCAAGATCTAGTACTGCCTGTGACCATGGATGGGTAAGCATGGTCCAGAACTCAGGAAGAAAAGAGATGTATTAGTTCTGTTCTCAGGCTGCTAAAGACATACCCGAGACTGCGTAATTTATAAAGGAAAGAGGTTTAATTGACTCACAGTTCAGCATGGCTGGGGAGGCCTCAGAAAATGTTACAATCATGGCAGAAGGGGAAGCAAACACATCCTTCTTCACATGGCTGCAGGAATAAGAAGTGCTGAGCAAAGTGGGAAAAGCCCCTTATAAAACTATCAGATTGCATGAGAACTCAGTCACGGTCACAAGAACAGCATGGAAGTAATTGCCCCCATGATTCAGTTACCTCCCACCTGGTTCCTCCCATGAAACATGAGAATTATGGGGACAACAATTCAAGATGAGATTTGGGTGGGAATGCAGCCAAACCATGTCAAAGGATATAATTAATGGTCTCCCTCATCTCTCCCACCCCGGCCAGAAACCACATATAAACATGCAGCCCTGGAAGAATTGACCTAATCTGGTCACCTTTGAAAACTTAGAAAAGAGCTGCACTGGTAGACTGACTTGAGGAAAGATGCCTGCCTGCACTTGAAAAGCCCTGTAGGTAAGGCTTTCCATTCATGACTTAATAGTTGGATAGTGGTCTGCAAATTTGTCTAATACTGGGTGTTGTGGACTGAATTGTATTTCCTGCTGCCCACCCCAATTAAGAAGTCCTGATACCTCAGAATGTGACTGTATTTCTAGAGGGCTTTGAAGTGGTAATTGAATTACAGTGAAGTCGTTAGGCTGGGCTCTAATGCAATATGACTGGTACACTTAAGAGGAAATTTAGACACACACGTGGGCAAAGTAAAGACCACGTAGAGACACAAGGAGAAGACGGCCGTCTACTGACAATGAGAAACGCCTCAGATGAAACAACCCTGCTGAAAGCTTGATCTTGGATTTCCAGCTTCCAGAACTATGAGAAAATAAATTTCTGTTGTTTAAGGCACCCAATCTGTGGTGCTTCATTATGTTGTACCTAACTAGCGAACACACTGGCCACCCAAGAGGAAGCTTGTCTTATACGACTTGCCTCTGTTTGATAGAACCTAATACACTATTCTAACTGCTAATTGTAAATAAAATAACAAATAAAGAAAAGTTACAGCCCATCTAAGGGACTCAGAAACCAAAGGAGAGAAGATCAAGCCAGTCCCCAGATGAAATGGCTTTTACCAAAGTAAAATTGATTGAGGTCTGTTTTTTTTTTAAAAAAAAAAAAGTTACAAGAGCTCAAACTTCCTTGTCACCAATCCTGTTCCTTCCAAATCCATGACCATCCAGCCAAACCATGAGCAACTGCCCATGAATTAGTATAGGTCTATACTTCTGGCCATTTATCATGCCAGATATAGGAAACAAATGTACTACTCAAAATCCCATCCATTGCAAGGCCATGACAGCAGATTATACAGACTCCTCTGTAATGAAGGACACTCCAGGAGGCCATGGGGTCTAATGGAGGTAAAGGAAGACAATGTAGCAGGAGTTGGTGTTGGGCAGGCTGCCGTGGCTCATGCCAGTTATCCCAGCACTTTGGGAGGCTGAAGCAGTAGGATTGCTTGAGACCAGGAGTTTGAGACCAGGCTGGGCAATATAGTGAGACCTTGTCTCTACTAAAAACAAAAAAGTTAGCTAGCCATGGTGGCAGGTGCCTGTAGTCCCAGCTACTTGGGAGGCCAAGGTGGGAGGATGACTTGAGCCTGGGAGGTCGAGCCTGCAGTGAGCTGTGATTGTGCCACTGCACTCCAGCCTGAGTGACAGAGTGAGACCCTGGCTCAGAAAAAAGTTGGTGTTGAAGAAGTCTTGATTCTTCTATGTGTGCTTGCTGGAGTATGCTTCTAGTGTGCTTGCTAGAGGCTGCATGTAGCATCCCTGTTTGCCATGGACACTGAGTGTTACCGGATCTGCTGGATCTTAAGCACCACACAGTAGAGCAGCATGTGATGTAAAGCATCCTGGACTTCCTGCAGAGCCTTCTCTCGCTCCAGTCCCTGCTCAAAACTAGCAGCATAGGCTGGGCACCGTGGGTCACGCCCGTAATCCCAGAAATTTGGGAGGCTGAGGTGGGTGGATCACTTGAGGTCAGGAGTTCAAGACCAGCCTGGCCAACATGATGAAACCCCATCTCTACTAAAAATACAAAGAATGGCCACACATTGTGGCACATGCCTGTAATCCCAGCTACTTGGGATGCTGAGGCAGGAGAATCTCTGGAACCTAGGAGGTGTAGGTTGCAGTGAGCCAAGATCGTGTCATTGCACTCCAGCCTTGGCAACAAAATGAGGCACTGCTTCAAAGAAAGAAAAGGAAGGGAGGGAGGAAGGGAGGGAAGGAAAGGAAGGAAGGAAGGAAGGAAGGAAGGAAGGAAGGAAGG